ATAGGGAAACAGAGGTGAACTCTTAAACCATTATCCCCTGTAACCCTGTGGAAGAAGATCCATAGTAAGGAAGTGTCCCCTTGCAAGCCTATGGAAGGAGAGCCTTCAGGACCTGGGTAACCCCCAGCCTTTGGTCTTAATCCAGGAGGGGGGTAGGCCCAGCCCTAAAGGCTGACACAAAGAAGGAGAAAAAGTTCCAGCTGTGACAAGAGAGCTGCAAAGTTACTGGAGAGAAAGAGACAGCTGGAATTCCGAGAATGGAACAGGACTGCTTCTCCTCCTTGGACTGATATAAAGGGAGGTGGGGGGAGAAGTATCTTCTGTAAATACATAATACCTTTTACTTAAGTAGCATTATTGTAAATATAATTCTTTAGTTTTAGCTTGTTAATAATAAACAATTTGCAGTCAGGCATAACACATTATTCACCATTTGGAAAATTAAAATACATCCATGTGTCCATTGACACCTGTTCTGGTGCCATTGCAGCAGCAGCACATGCAGGAGAGAAGGCCCAAAATGTCAACAAACACCTTCTATCTGCAATATCAGTCCTTGGTATCCTCAAAACGATAAAAACAGATAACAGACTGGCATACACTTCTCACTCTAAAAAACTTTTTTAACATGTGGGGCATCTCCCATGTCACAGGGATCCCCCACTCCCACACTGGTCAAGCAGTGCTAGAGCGTGCTCATCAAACACTCAAGAATATGTTAACCAAACAACAAAACACCACAATTGGACTTAGATGGTGAGTGTGGGAATGGTTGGAGTTTGGTTGATGTGCTGCTAAAGTCATGCATTGATTTTGGTTTCCTTTCTTGGAGCTGAGGAAGAGAAGAACCCCAGGGACTGCAGGAACCCCTGAGCCAGCCCAAGGGATGTGCTTTTGGAAGGTGGATGGACAGGCCCAGCTCTCTGCAAGATAAGTGGAGGGTTCTGAGCCAGAGAGGGGATGAGAGCTGAGTATAGGTTTGGGAATCACTGGGAGGGCTTTTGAAACGAGTGTAGAGAAGGGGATGTCTAAGAACAAGTCCCTTAGGAGAGGGAAGCAGAGAGGCTGAATTTTGACCCCAGCACTGGGGTGTGCAGGGCAGAGCATAGAATCTCCCCCATGTAAGATTCTTGTGGGTCCATCTTTGCAGTTCTGACGGGCATTGCTTGTCACGGCCTATCCTCTCCATTCCAGAATAGGCCCTGGCAACCAAAGAACCAACACCCCACACCAGCACAGTTAGACCCACCCATGTACTTTAAGCCCTTTTTTTATGTCACGGTCTATCCTGTCCATTCTGGAATAGCCAGGGATACCAAAAAACCAAGCCCCTACCATGTACCAGTTCAACCCCATCTATGTGCCAAAGGCTGCTTTGTGATGTCACAGCCCATCCTCTCCATTCCGGAACAGCCCCTGGCAACCAAAAACTCAACGCGCCAAAACCTCAAAATGCAGCCCCATCAGTGTGTTCTGGGCCCTTTTGTGATGTCACAGCCTGTCCTCTCCATTCTAGAATAGCCCCTGGAAACCAAAGAACAACCATCACAGAATGTCACAGTGCAGCCCCCCCATGTGCTATTGCCCCTTTGTGAAGTCACAGCCTTTCCCCCAGGAACGAAAGCCTGTAACCTTCAGGTTTCAGGTGCAGTTGGTGGGGCACCCTGGGCACTCCATGGGTAGCAAGAGTTTTCTGTCCTGGCACCTTTTGTCTGGCAGAAATCTTTGTCCAGATTCAAATCTGTCAGTCAGGCTGACAATCCCAGTGCGGGGTTCCTGCAAATGAAAGACAGCCCTGCCCTCCAGGAAAAAAACCCTTTACCCTTGGTCTCTTTTCCTCTTCCTTCAAATACAACCTGCAGGGCAGAGTTCTGCCATCTCTTCTCTTGGGAATTTTGAAGATAGACCCTCTCCCATCTTTAACACCTCAGGAAAAACCACCCTGTTAACACCTTTCCCAACCTTCCCCATCCTTCCCCAAAGCTGAGATGTGGAAAGAACAAGTGCCCTTGTCCCTGGCTGTGCTGCTGTGCTGGGAGTCTCTTCCCTCCAGCTCTGCACACAGGCACTGCCCCTGCAGCTCCAGAGAAGGGCTGAAGAAGCATCTTTAACACACAAATCAGGGCAGGTCTATCAGGGATTGTTGATATTTGTTGGTCTGTGTTTGGCCCAGCCACCTGCAAAAGTTTTGTTTCTTGCCTGTCAAGTTCACTGATAAAAGGGAACTTCGTCCTTGGAGAGAGAGTTTCTTGTATAAACTGTTGTAATTGGTGCACTGTGATTGGCTGGTTGTCTGTAGAGGACATTTGAAGGAGAAACTGAAGAGGAAAAGATGAAGTAAAGCCCCCAGACCCAAATAGATCAGAGCCCTTGAGTGAAACAGCGCAAGTGCAAGGGGAATCTCCACGTTCTCCCGCATGGCTGAAGGGGGGCACTCACAGAACAGGGGAGGGACCGAGGGCCTCTGGCTGGGCGGTGCTGCCACACCGGCCCAGGGAGATGTCCCCGGCTCATTGGATAAAAGTGGAGGTGGCTCGTGCTCGGGGCTCTCAAGCTTCACATGAAGGGCAACGTTGCCTTTTACGGGGACGCCGCTATCTTTGTGAGCCTGCTGACCCTCCGAGGATGCAGCCTCTGCTGTGGGGAATTCTGGTTATCCTGGGGTCGGTAAGACAACCTCGTAGAACACACCTGCATGAGTGGGGGTTTCACAGAGGGCTTAGTTTACTCCTTTCCTGTCTCTCGGGTTCCTGTTTACTTGGCCACTTTCTGTAATAAATATTGGATTTCATGTTGAGCTCTCAGCATTGTCTTGGTTTTCAATCTAGGCATCCTTTCGAACTCACCCCATTACACTGTGCTGGTAATATTTGTCTTGGAGGAATCTTCATTCTTAGTTCACTTGTGGTCCTAGACTGACAATACCAGGGAAAGGAATCTGACACCAAACAAATGCATTTCCACACAGGAAAAAAAGCCCCATCTCTCCTGTGCAATTACTGAGCCACTCTTGGCACTCCATGCACACACAGAGCTTCCTATGCTGGCACCTTTTGCCTGGGATGTATCTTAATTTATCTTCCAATTTGGGACTCCAACTGACAGTTGCACTTCAGGAATTCTCACACCAAACAAATGCATTTCCACCCAGGAAAGAAAACCTGTTATGGTTTTGAGTCTAGGCCTTTCTTGGTAACCAGTTTGTAACCACGGAAACAAGGCCACGTTCCAAGTATTCCATGTGATTTTTACATAAGCAAATGTATAAATAAGAAGGGAGAGGAAGCTCTCACTGTCATTCTTCTGGTTAACTGAAAGCGTGGGTTTTTTGCTCTCATTGTGCCTGGGTGAAGGAGTGAGGCCTCATGCGCCTGGTTGGCCTTGAGAAGGAGAAAGTGCCGGCGGTTGTTGGTGCGATTCTCTGCTATATTGAGGAAAGTATTTGGGTTACGGTTCGGGTTTCGGGTTCGGATTCTGGTTTAGGGTCAGGGTTAGGGTCAGGGTCAGGGTCATGATTAGAGTTAGACTTAGGGTTCAGGCTTGGGTTAGGGTTAGGGTTGGAGCAAGGGCTAGGGTTAGGGTTAGGGTTAGGGTTAGGGTTAGGGTTAGGGTTAGGGTTAGGGTTAGGGTTAGGGTTAGGTTAAGGGTTAGGGACTCTGACAATTCCTGTGCAAGGACTCTGACACCAAAGAAATGAAGTTCCACTCAGGAAAGAAAGCCCTTCCCCTCCATCTCTTCTGTGCAATTGGTGAGCCACTCTTGGCACTCCAGGCACAAAGACGTCTTGTTGTGCTGGCACCTTTTGTCTGGGATGAATCTTCATTCTTAGTCCATTTTTGGACTTAGCATTTCAGCACAGGGGTTCTGACACCAAAAAAATGCATTTCCACCCAGGAAAGAAAGCCTTTACCCTTCATCTCTCCTGTGAAATTGTTGAACCACTCTTGGCACTCCATGCACACCTAGAGCTTCCTGTGCTGACACCTTTTGTCTGGGAGGAATCTTCATTCTTATGCCATTTGGGGGATCAGACTTGTGGAGTGCTTAGCTGAAAAAAGACACATTATGGACAAACCATACTAATTGGCCTCAGTTAGACCTGGCCCTGACATAGCCAGAAGCCTCTTTGCAGGCAGTGGAAAGATACAGGAGCAGTGATAACAGACTGCAGGAATGTAAACAAAGAGAAACCTGTGACAAAAATAAGGAGGAGTTTTAGGAGAAAAACAATGTCTTCATATCACATGGACATCTGTGTGCACCCAAGAGGAAGTGTGTCAGTAATGCACATTCGGTTCATGGCTACAGCAAATAACCAATAGTTTGAAAGTGATCACACCCCGGGGGGCAGTGAAAGTATATAAGAGGTTGGGTTATGTAAATAAAGTGGAACATTTGAGTAAATCATTCTGATTTGTGTGCAGTTTGTTCTGAAAGCTCCTCCACCAACACCCACTTTATATCACAGTTGTGCCTTTGTTGTCACCAGTCCCCTGTGACATCACTTGTCCCCAATGATATCAGTGCTGTCTCTGTGATGTCACCGGTGTTACCGATGATGTCACTGGTGTCTCTGCTATGTCACCTCTGTCCTTGTCAACTCACTGATGTCCCCAGTGATGTCACTGATGTCTTTGGGAGATCACGGCTGCCCCTTTGTTTTCACCAGTCTTCTGTGATATCACTGGTCCACAATGATGTCACTACTGTCCCTGTAATGTCACCACCGTCCCCTGTGATGTCACCAATGCCCACCGTGATATCACTGGTGTCTCTGTGTTGTTATTCAGGTCCCCTGTGATGTCGATGATGTCCCTGTGACATCACGACTGTCCCTTTACTGTCAACAATTCCATGTGATGTCACTGGTCCCCAGTGATGCCACCCATCTCCCTGGAATGTACCTGTCGTGGTTTTGTCCTGGCTCAATTTACTTTTATACTCCCACATACAATTACTATTAGTTGAGAGAAGGTTTATGCAGACAAAAAGAGACTGAATTAAAAAAAAGTATGAGTATTTATTATTAACAAGCTAACACTAAAGAATTATATTTACAACAATTCTACTTAAGTAAAAGGTATTATGTATTTACAGAAGATGCTTCTCCCCCCACTTCCCTTTATATCAGTCCAAGGAGGAGAAGCAGTCTTTTTCTGTTCTCAGAATTCCAGCTCTCTCTCTCTCCAGTAACTCTGCAGCACTTTCGTCGCAGTTGGAACCTTTTCTCCTTCTTCTCTATGTCAGCCTCCAGGGCTGGGCTTACCCCTTCCTTGGCTAAAACCGAAGGCTGGGGGTTACCCAGGTCCTGAAGGGTTTCCTTCCATAGGCTTGCAAGGGGACACTTGCTTACTATGGATCTTCTTCCACAGGGTTACAGGGGATAATGGTTTAAGAGTTCACCCCTGTTTCCCTATGGAGGTCCCTCCCCACGGGAGAACAGTCTTTGATTGACTTCTCGGCATGGGTCTAGTCTGGATCCCTTACTCGGATCCCAATATCCCACCTGAGCCATTTTCTGCTCCAGCGTAGGTTTTCTCATTCCCCTCAGGGTCATAAATCTTCAATATCCCTACCCGAACCGTCTTCTGTTCCAGCGTAGGTTCTCTCAGGATCACAAATCTCCAGCACCAGCAGCATGGATCCCACACATGGATCCCAATATCCCTACCCGAACCGTTTCTCTGTTCCAGCGTAGGTCGTCATCCCCCTCGGGGTCATAAATCTCCAACAGGATTCTGCCTCATCTGAGCCGCTCCTGCTCCAGCATAAGGCTTTCTCTGTTAAAGTCACAAATCTCTGGTGCATCCACAAGCTCCTCTGTGAGCCGCATGGGGGTCTCTTCACCCCAACAAACTTCTACAGGTGGCAGGGTTTTATTTTTCAGTCTTTACCCTGCTGAAGGGAGGGAGAGCGAAAGGGAGAAAAAGCAGCTCTCCCCCCTTCAAACTTTTCTTCTCTCTCCTGCGACTGCAGCTTTGACCTTGAAAATCCTGTTATCTCATGGCTGGAATTCTTCTGCAGCGGTTTCTCGTCTAAGCAGTTCATCTTTTAAACTTTTTTTTTCTTCACTCTCTCACAAGAGAGAAGGGAGGTTTCAGTGCTGTACCTGCCCCCCCTGGCCCAAGCCGGGGGAGGAGAGGGCCTTGACCCTCCTCGGGCCCGCTACCCTTCTACATGGCTGCTGCTCCTAATTTCAACTGCGCCACAACCTTCTCTTCCGTTTTCTTAAAGATGTAATTAGCAAAGGCGTCACTGAACTTTTTGATTGGCTTTTTGTCCGGAAATCACCTGGACAAAACTATCCTCAGCCCCAGAGATGGGCTGGTGGGTAAAACCACGACAGTACCACTGTCCCCTGTGATGTCACCCATGTTCCTGATGATATCACTGGTGTCTCTGTGATGTCACCTGTCTTTGTGAAGTCACCGATGACCCCAGTGATATCACTGATTTCCCTGTGATGTCACCACTATCCCCTGTGATGTCATCAGTGACACTGATAATATCACCGGTGTCTCTGTGATGTCAGCCATGGCCTTGTGAAGTCATCGATGTCCCCTGTGATGTGAAAGATGTCCCTGTATATGTCGCTGGTGTCTCTGTGGTGTCATCACTGCCCCCTGTGATGTCAAAAATGTCCCAAATGATGTCCTGCTGTCTCTGTGATGTCACCACTGTGCCGAACCGTGGTACCATGTCCCTGTCATGTCACCAATGTCAGTGATGTCTCTGTGACATCACAACTTTCCCTTTGATGTCAGCAGTCACCTGTGACATCACTGGTCCCCAGTGATGTCACTGCTGTCTCTGTGATGTCACCACTGTCCCCAGCGGTGGCACCATGTCCCCGTGATGTCACCAATGTCCATGTGATGTCACCAGACCCCTTTGATGTCAGCGATGTCCCCGTGATATTGCAGATGTCCCTTTCTTGTCACCATTCCATTAGAATGTCACTGGTCCCCAGTGATATCACCCATGTCTTTGTGATGTCACCACTATCCCCTGTGTTGTCACCAATTTCCTCAATTATGTCACTACTGTCTCTTTAATGTCACCCCTGGCCTTGTGAAGTCACCATTGTCCCTACTGATGTCACTGATGTCCCTGTGATGTCACAACGGTGTTTTCTTTTTCAACAGTCCACTGTGAAGTCACTGGTTTACAATGATGTCACCAATGTCCCTGTGATGTCACCAGTGTCACCGATGATGTCACTGGTGTCTCTGTTATGTCACCACTGGCCTTTTGCAATCATTGATGTCCCCTGTGGTGTCACCAATGTCCTTGCAACATCAGGGCTTCCCATTGTTGTCACCAGTCCCCTGTGATGTCACTGGTTCCCAATGATTTCACTGCTTTCCCTGTGATGTCACCACCATCCCTTTTGATGTCACCATTGTCCCCAGTGACTTCAGTAATGTCCATAATGATGTCACTTGTGTCTCTATAATGTCAACCCTGTGCTTGTGAAGTCACCAATGTCCCTGTGACATCACGGCTGCCCCTTTATTTTCAACAGTCCCATGCTATGTCACTGGTCCCCAGTGATGTCACCCATGTCCCTGTGATGTCACCTCTATCCCCTGTGATGTCACCAGTGACAGTGATAATATCACTGGTGTCTGTGATGTCACCACTGGCCTTCTGAAGTCATCAATGTCTCCTGTGATGTCAAAGATGTCCCCGTTGATGTCACTGGTGTGTCTGTGGTGTCATCATTGTCCCTTGCAATGTCAACAATGTCCTCAGTGATGTCCTGCTGTCTCTGTGATGTCACCACTCTGTCGAACCGTGGCACCATATCCTCGTCATGTCACCAATGTCAGTGAGGTCCCTGTGACATCACGGCTGTCTTTTTGTTGCCAATAGTCCCCTGTGATGTCACTGGTCCCCAATGATGTCACACATCTCCCTGTGATGTCACCAATAATGTCACTGGTGTCTCTGTGATGTCACCACCATCCCCTGTGATGTCACTGATAGCCCTGTGACATCACGGCTGTCCTTTTTGTTGTCAACAGTCCCCTGTGAGGTCACTGGTCCCCAGTGATGTCACCAGTCTCCCTGTGATGTCACCACTCTCCCCTGTGATATCAACCATTTCACTGATGTCACTGGTGTCTCTGTGATGTCACCCTGGCCTTGTGATGTCATTGATGTTGACTGTGATGTCACAGATGTTCCTGTTGATGTCATTGGTGTCTCTGTCGTATCATCGCTGTCTCCTGTGATGTCAACAATGTCCCCAATGATGTAACCTCTGTCCCTGTGATGTCACCACTGTCCACTGTGACATCAGCAATGTCCCCAAAGATGTCATTGGTGTCTCTATTGATACCTTGGAGTTTTGATGTTTTAATTTTTTTATTTTTGTAGACCTTAGAAGTAGTTATGTAGTAAATGTAGATTTTAGAGTAGCAGCATATTATCCCTTTACCCTTAACACACCAGCTCAAACCCCTGTTACCCATTCCCATATCAATTCCCTAAATTCCATAGCCTGTTTAGTCTCTTTTTCAAGGTAGAATTGTAGAAGAACACCCTAACACTACGGAAGAAGATATAGCCATAGACCCAACAACCCTCAGGCCTAGAATTCTGGAAGGCCTCCAAGGACATTACGTGCTCTGAGGAAGATGAAGATGAAGAAGAGGGGGTCCCAAAACGCCCCCAGACCCAATTCCCAAGAGGCGTGGCGGGGGCAGAACCTGGGTGGTAGCTGGACTGGATTGGGTGAAAATCATTATAAAAACTGTGGACATCTGTATTTCAGGAGCGTGCGCTGGGGTATTCCAGAAAGCCTGGGGGCTCATTAAAACTTCTGTATCCTTATCTTATCTCCTACCTAATTTGGCTTGGAGTCTTTTTTCCCCACAGCCATTTAGGCAACACTATAATGTCAACCCTTTCCTTGTGAAGACACCGATGTCCCTGTGACATCAGGGTTGTCCCTTTATTGTCAACAGTCCCATGTGATGTCACTGGTCTTCAGTGATGTCACTGATGTATCTGTGATGGCCCCACTGTCCCCTGTGATGTCAGCCATGTCTCTGATGATGTCTCTGGTGTCTCTGTGATGTCATCACTGTCGTTGTGAAGCCACCAATGTCCCCTGTGATGTCAGCGATCTCTCTGTGACATCACGACTGTCCATTTATTGCCAGCAGTCCCGTGTGATGTCACTGGTCCCAAATGATGTCACTTATATATCTCTGATGTCACCACTATCCCCTGTGATGCCACAAGTGCCTCTGCTGATGTCACTGGTGTCTCTGTGATGTCACACCTGACCTTGTCATGTCACCAATGTCCCCTGTAATGTCACAGATGTCCCTGTGACATCACAGCTGTCCCTTTGTTGTCAGTAGTCTCCTGTGATGTCACTGGTGCCCAATGATGTCACTACTGTCCCTGTGATGTCATCACTGTCCCCAGAGGTGTCACCATGTCCCCATGATGTTGACAATTTCCTTGTGACATCACAGCTATCCTCTTGTTTTTACCAGTCACCTGTGATGTCACTGGTCCTCAGTGATGTCAATGATGTCCCTGTGATGTCACCAGACCTTTTTGATGTCACTGATGTCCCTGTGACATCACGGCTGTCCCCTTGTTTCAACCACTCCCCTGTGATGTCACTGGTCCCCAATAATGTCGTTGCTGTCCCTGTGGTGTCACCACTGTGCCCATCGGTGGCATCTTGTCCCCATGATGTCACCGATATCCTTATGATGTCACCAGACCCCTGATATGTCACTGATGTCCCTGTTATATCATGTCTGTCTCTTTGTTGTCACCCGTCACCTGTGATGTCACTGGTCCCCAGTGATGTCACCCATGTCCCTGATGATGTCACTGTTGACACTGTGATGTCACCTCTGTCCTTGTGAAATCACCGATGTCCCCTGTGATGTCACTGATTTCCGTGGGATACCACGCCTGTCCCTTTGTTTTCAACAGTCCTCTATGATGCCACTGATACCCAATGATGTCATCCATGTCCCTGTGATGTCACCACTGTCCCCTGTGATGTCACCAATATCCACAATGATGTCACTGATGTCTCTTTGATGTCAGACATGTACTTGTGATGTCACTGATGTCCCATGTGATGTCACCGATGTTCCTGTGACATCACAGCTGTCTCTTTGTTTTCACCAATCCCCTGTGATGACATTCGTCCCCAGTGATGTCACCAACATCCCTTTCATTAGGGTTAGGGTTAGGGTTAAGCTTAGGCTTAGGCTTAGGCTTAGTTTCAGACTTAAGTTTTAGGGTTAGGGTTAAGATTAGGGTTAGGGTTAGGCTTAGGGTTAAGGTTCGGGTTAGTGTAAGGATTAGGTTAAGGTTATTGTTTAGATAACATTTTCATTAGAGTAAGGGATACGGTTACAATTATGGGTTAAGGTTTAGGTTTAGATTTTTTTTAAATATTAGATCTAGGGTTCAGTACTGTCTAAGATACCTCCCAGTCCAAAGGTGCATGCACAGAAAGCTCTTGCTCTTTGTGTAGTGCCGAGAGTGATGCACAAATTGCACTCAAGAGATGGTGATTCACAGTTAGAGTTAATGTGAGGTGCTGGGATTAAGGGTTAAGGTTACAGATGGGGTTAAGGTTAAGATTAGGGTTAGGTTAGGGTTTAGGGTTAGGTTTAAGTTTGGACTTTTTTTTTAAGTTTAGGTCTAGGGTTCAGTACAGATGAAGATACATCCCAGACAAAGGTGCCCGCACACAAAACTCTTGCTCTTTGTGCAGTGCCCAGAGTGGCGCAGCAACTGCACTGGAGAGACGCAGACTCAGGGCTTTCTTTCCTGGGTGGAAGGGCAGTCGTTCTCTTGTAGGAGTGCTGAGCTGAAATGGCCGTCCCACAGTGTGACACATTTGTTTGTTCTAACGAAAAAAGGAGTTGAGCAGTGAATATTTTCCCTCCCTCCCCTTCTCATTTTGTGGGAGGGATGTTGAATGGGCAGATTGGCCCATTGGGTGATTGAGCAACACTAAAGAACTGGTCAGGGACTCAGATTCCAGACTGATGGCCATTGAAGTCTGTGGGGAGGGATGGGGAGGTTTTTTTGTTTTCTAATCTTTTCCCTCTCCTGGGAAACATATTTCTGACTCACACATGTATTAACAATGTCTGATGGATAAATGCAGATCAAATCTATTCCCTGGATTGGACATGGAGACGTGAACCCCTCGAGTGAAGACATCTCCATGCCCTGTGTCCAAAGGAAGCTGTGTGTCCATAAAGCACGGGATCCAGCTGCAGGTGTGCTCTTCTCTGTGCCCACACTGATGCTCCCCTGGCTGCACAGGCACACAGGGACAGAGGCCCTGCTGTGCTCAGGGCTCTGGGGGTGTGCAATGCTCAGGTGCTTCTGCTCCCAGGGAGAACAAACATGGATTTCTCTCCCCGACTGCACCTCTGCCTCCCACAGTCCCTCCTGGAATGGGGCTGAACTGCCCAGTGACAGCCCTGGAGATACAAAGGGGTGGTTGTCGAGACACGAAGGGACTGTGGAGCTACACGGTGAGAGAAAGGGGAGACATCTGCGGCCTGAGCTCAGCTGAGACATCCACTAGACCCTCAAACATTTGTATTGTCGTGGTTTTGCCCTGGCTCAATTTACTTTTATACCTCTCATACAATTATTATCAGTTGAGAGAAGGTTTATGCAGACAAAAAGAGACTGAATTGAAAAAAAAAAGTATGAGTATTTATTATTAACAAACTAAAACTAAAGAATTATATTAACAACAATTCTACTTAAGTAAAAGGTATTATGTATTTACAGAAGATATTTCTCCCCCCACCTTCCTTTATATCAGTCCAAGGAGGAGAAGCAGTCCTTTTCTGTTCTCAGAATTCCAGCTCTCTCTCTCTCTCTCTAGTAACTCTGCAGCACTTTCGTCGCAGTTGGAACTTCTTTATCTCTCTCTTATTCTGTGTTGGCCTCCAGGGCTGGGCCTACCCCCCTCCTGGGTTAAAACCGAAGGTTGAGGGTTACCCAGGTCCTGAAGGGTCTCCTTCCATAGGCTTGCAAGGGGACACTTGCTTACTATGGATCTTCTTCCACAGGGTTACAGGGGATAATGGTTTAAGAGTTCACCCCTGTTTCCCTATGGAGGTCCCTCCCCATGGGAGAACAGTCCTTGATTGACTTCTCGGCATGGGTCCAGTCTGGATCCCTTACTCGGATCCCAATATCCCACCTGAGCCATTTTCTGCTCCAGCGTAGGTTCTCTCTAGCACCAGCAGCACGGATCCCACACATGGATCCCAACATCCCTACCTGAACCGTTTTGTGTTCCAGCGTAGGTTCTAATACCCGTCAGGGTCATAAATCTTCAACAGCAGCAGCATGGATCTCTCACTGAGATCCCAAGCGTATCTGAGCCGTCTCGCTCCAGCATAAGCATCGATCCCTTCGAGGGTCACAAAGTCTTTAACAGGACTCTGCCTCATCTGAGCCGCTTTTACTCCAGTATAAGGCTTTCTCTCTGTTAAAGTCACAAATCTCTGGTGCATCCACAAGCTCCTCTGTGAGCCGCATGGGGGTCTCTTCACCCCAACAAACTTCTACAGGTGGCAGGGTTTTATTTTTCAGTCTTTACCCTGCTGAAGGGAGGGAGAGCGAAAGGGAGAAAAAGCAGCTCTCCCCCTTCGAACTTTTCTTCTCTTTCCTGTGCTGCCAGCTTCGACCTTGAAAATCCTGTTATCTCATGGCTGGAATTCTTCTGCAGCGGTTTCTCGTCTAAGCAGTTCGTCTTTTAAACCTTTTTTTTTCCTTCACTCTTTCACAAGAGAGAAGGGAGGTTTCAGTGCTGCACCTGCCCCCCGGCCCAAGCCGGGGAGGAGAGGCCTTGGCCCTCCTCGGGCCCGCTACCCCTCTACATGGCTGCTGCTCTTAATTTCAACTGCGCCAACACCTTCTCTTCCGTTTTCTTAAAGATGTAATTAGCAAGGGCGTCACTGAACTTTTTGATTGGTTTTTTTGTCCGGAAATCACCTGGACAAAACCATCCTCAGCCCCAGGGATGGGCTGGTGGACAAAACCACGACAGTATTCATACTGTTCTACTGCCCCTCCTTTCTTTCCTTGGATTTTCTTTCCAAATCTAAATCCCAGCCAAAAATAATTTTTAGATCTGGTTGGACCAAGAAAGGCCCATGGCATTGGAGTGTTAAAATACCATGTGAGGTCACAGAGTCACTTCTATTCTTGCATCAAAATTGTCATCAGTTGGAAAATACAAATTTGACTTAAAGGTTTAGAAAAAAAGAGCTCTGCATATTCCCATGTGGACTGGGTTTGATGTCCCCACAAGAGCTTGATGCAGCAGGTTTTGGTTAAAACTCCTGGAGACAGAGAACTGTTCTTGGGGGACATTTCACCTGACCCTTCTCTTTGGATGAGGCAGAAACATCCCCTTTCTCTTGCCCTTCTTGGTGTGTGGGGGGAAAATCGCCCTTGTCAGGGAGCCCCTGCAGGCTCTGCCCCTCCGGTGATCCAACAGCGGCCCCTGCTGACCGGGATTGGAATTGCGCCAAAAAGCGAGGAATACCGGACTGTTCCTTTTTTTTTTTTTTTTTTTTTTGAGGATTTTTGGTACAGGATTACTCGATGATCCTTGTGGTCCCTTCCAACTTGGAATATTGGGTGTGATTCTGTGAAGTTCCACAGGGCTATGTGTGAGGAGACAGCAGGGGCTGAGCAAAGCAGAGTAGGGCAATGGCAGCACAGCCCTTGAGCACTGTGAGGACACAGCACAGGATCCAGATCCAGAGGAGAAATGGCTGACCCTGGAAGAAGGGTGGGTCATAATGTGGACAAAATATGTCTAGGAGGGAGGAGCACTAGAGTGCTGCTGAGAGGGGCAGGACAGGGCGTGTCCTGGGCACAGGGCAGGGCACAGGCTGTGTGGATCAGGCGTGCAGCAGTGATGGGCAGAGCTGCTTTGGGGAAGGCAGGAGGATGATTGCTTCCTTCAGCCCCCAGGGGACTCTGAACATAAGGGGGTGATTTTCAACACTTCCCAATGGGTTCAGGGCAGAGTGTAACACCTGGGAGGTGCTGAAATGTTTTAGGCATCAGAGCCATCCACCTGGAACCACAAACCGCACAAAAAGTGGGCTTGGGGTGGTATCAAAGAGGGGAAAAAGGAGGTGGAGGATGGAGCCGCATGGGTGGGAAAATTCTTGTCTAGTAAGTCCTCAGTAATGGGAATGTGGAAGGGGCACAGGGCTGAACTCTCTCCAGAGCCACCACTGGGCAGGGCATTCGTTTCTTGATGCTCACAGATGACAGATGGTGGATCTGGGATCCCCACAATGTCTCAGTGTGTGCAGCATCTGGGGGAGCTGCAGGCTCTCAACCTGTGCCTTTCTCCTCCCAGGCAGTTGGTCCAGCTCCCGGGCAGGCACAGCCACCAATGGGGAAGGATTCCCTCCTCACACACTCATGACCCTCAGCATCAGGGCCAAGGCTGCCCAGCTGACACCACCAGGACATGAGGAGCTTCATCAGCTGGGATCTCACTGGGCTGCAATGACATATCCTGCTCACTGCTTCCTCTCCCCATCACACCTCTGGTCTCTCCTCTTTTTCTAAGAACCCATGTCAGCCAGTTGGGCAGATTTGCATGAGCTGGCTGGTTCCACATTCATCTAAAGAATCAAGATGGGAACTGGGGGAGGAGTTCAGTGTCTGGGATGGTCCCTGCACAGGACACCAGGAATCATGAGCTCTACATTTCTCTAACAGACAGCAACCCCTCGACTAAGACAATGTTTCCTGTCAGAGGCAAGTGATAACTTGTGAGCCCTTTCCACTCTTCTTTCCTCCTGGATATGTTTTGTCCATATTGTGATCCATCCTTCTTCCAGGGTCAGCCATTCCCTTCTGGATCTGAATCCTGCGCTGTGTCCTCACCTTGCTCCTCTTGTCATGCGCCCCCATCAGCACCCTTGTCCTGGAGAGATGGGGCCACTGAGCACTGGGAGAGCCCAGCCTGGAGACATCCCCATACCCATCACTCCCCTCTGATGCTCTCCCTGCCCTGCACTCCCTGCTGTCCCCGTGTCTCTGCCCCCTAACCGGAGTGGGACCAACCCCACCCCCAGCTCCCCTTTGGCCTAACCCCCCTTGGGGCAGTGCTCAAGTGCTGCCATTGCCCTGCTCTGCTTTGCTCAGCCCCTGCTCTCTGCTCACACACAGCCCTGGGGAACTTCACAGAATCACACACAGTATTCCAAGTTGGAAGGGATCCACCAGGATCATCGAGTCCAACTCCTGAGCCTTCCCTGGACCATCCCCCGGAGTCACACCACGTGCCCGGGAGTATCGTCCAAACACTTCTTGTACTTGCACCAAGCAAGCAGTGCTGAACCCCCACACAGGCACCTCCTGCTCCCAGACAACAGCGTCTCCAGCCTCTGGGTAAGGGAGAGGGGATGCAGCCATCTCCTAAGTTATCCCAAACAGGGTATTCACGTCGAACCTTCGTGTCTGCCTCACCCCTCTGGGAGGATCTGTGGGCATGTGCTGGGAATTCCTGGAGGCACTGCCATTGCTGGAGGAGTTACGTTTCTGCTCTTCCTCCCACTGTCCTGGCTTTAGCTCTCCTGAAGGAAACATTTGCTTGGAGAGGCCTCAAAACACACCCATGTCCTTCTCCATGAAATACCCCTGTTCCCAGTTTTGTGAAATCCTCTGGTGCAGGCAGGGAAGGTGTCCACACAAGTTCTCTCAGAGGGGCAGAGGTAAATGGGAAGAGCCTGGAAGATCTCTGGGCTGGAAACAAAGCATGACTTTGCACCTCTCTCAGTTTAATGAAACACAAGTGTTTGGCTATTGAGGATGAGTTAGGAGGAAGACCAAACTCCTCCCCCTATGCAATTGTAAATCCAAAATTAGGAGTCTGCAAGTATCGAGAGGAAAAATGGAGAAAGGAAAAATAAAAGCCCTTTTTTAAAGGATATATGTGTGTTGGAAGAACAACGAAAGAACACAAAACCAAGCAAACAATCCTGTACCAAAAATCCCCCTCAAATAAAAGAAATGGTCCAATATTCCTCGCTTTTTGGTGCAATTCCAATCCCGGTCAGCAGGGGACGCTGTTGGATCACAGGAGAAGCAGAGCCTGCAGGGGCTCCCTGACAAGGGCCATTTTCGCCCCACACACCTAAAAGGGGAAGAAAAAGGTGATGTTTCTGTCTCATCCAACCCTAACTCTAACCCTAACCCTAATCGTAACCCTTTCCTTAACTCTAACCAAAAAGTTACTGAAACCCTAACCCTAACCAAAAACCCTAATTTTAAACCCTCACACTAACCCTAACCCTAACCCCGACCCTAACCCTGACCGTATCCCTTACTCTAACCCAAATATTACCTAATCCCTAACCCTAAAACCTAAACCTATGCCTAAGTTTAAGCCTAACCCTAAACCCTTACCGCAACCCTAACCCTAATGAAAGGGACATTGGTGACATCATTGAGGATGAGTGTCATCAAAGGGGATTGATGAAAACAAAGAGACAGCTGTGATGTCACAGGGACATTGGTGACATCGCATGAGACATCAATGACATCACAAGTACATGACTGACATCAAAGAGACATCAGTGACCTCACTGGGGATATTGGTGACATCACAGGGGACAGTGGTGACATCACAGGGACATGGGTGACATCATTGGGGACCAGTAACATCACAGGGGACTGGTGACAAAAAAGGAAAGCCCTGATGTCACAGGGAAATCAGTGACATCATGGGGACAGTGGAGCCACCGCTGGGGACAGTGGTGACATCACAGAGACAGCAGTGACATCATTGGAAACCAGTGACATAACAGGGGACTGGTGACATGAATAGGAAAGCTGTGATGCCACAGAGACATCGGTGACATCACACAGAATGTAGGTGACTTCGCAAGTACAGGGGTGACATCACAGAGACACCAGTGACATCATTGGTGACATCGGTGAAAATCGTGATTTAACAGGGACATTGATGACATCACAGGGGTCTGGTGACATCATAAGGATATCACAGGGACAAGGTGCCACTGCTGAGAACAGAAGTGACACCACAGCGACAGCAGTGACATCATTGAGGACCAGTGACATCACAGGGCGCCGGTTAAAACAAGGGGACACCTGTGATGTCACTGGGAAATCGTTAACATCACGGGGACATGGTGACACCACTGGGGACAGTGGTGACATCACAGGGACAGCAGTGACATCACTGAGGACCAGTGACATCACTGAGGACCAGTGACAACAAAGGGATAGTCGTGATGTCACAGGAACATCGGTGAAATCATAAGAGACCAGGGTAACATCACAGAGACACCAGTGACATTATCGGGTACAATGGTGACATAACAGAAGACATTGGTGACATCACAGGGAAAGTAGTGATGTCATTGTGGACCAGAGACATCACAGGGGACTGTTGAAAACAAAGGGACAGCCATGATGCCTCAGGGGACATCACTGACATAACAACAACAGGGGTGACATCACAGAGACAACACTGACATCATCTAGGACACTGGTGACATCACAGAGGACAGTGGTGCTATCACAGGGATGTCAATGACACTACTGGGGACCAGAGACATCACAGGGGAGTG